TGGGTTTAAAATCAATCTGATTGCTGCTGTGTGTTGCTGTCTGCCTAGCTGACCTCAATTTCATTTCATTTTGTGCAAATTTTCAGGTACAAGTTCTGAATCCTTGATAATATATGCCTGATTTGAGAAATGAAATGGAAGTCTCATGGCTCATTCCACTTGGCTCCTTGCTTGCTGCTCCTGTTCTTCTTTTATTTTTATTTTTTTCCTGCATTCATCTATAGTTTAGTTCAATTTTAAATTTGAATAGCTCAGTGCTGTAGTTAATTTGGACTGCTGGACTCTTATTTTGGAATTATATGAATATCCTAATGTTTAGAGTTAGACTTAAGTAGTATTAGTTTTGTTATCATGTCATGTTTGAGACTTAAGTTGAGAATATGACATTGGTTTAGTAGTGTTAATTTCAGTCCTGTTAATAAGTGTTAGAATGTGTTATCATGGTTCGAATTCAGAGATAGCATATAGATTTATCATGTAGGCATTGAATCATCTCCCGTGGCTTTAAAGGAACTGGCTATTTTAGTTTGTTCATCATGTATCTGCCAAAAATGAAATTCAAAGAGTTAAGTTTAATATCAGTATATGCATGGTATTTCACGTTAGCTTAAGGATTTGTGAGTTGCTTTAAATTGCTCTCAGAATTCTAGATCAAGTATGTTAGTCATAAATATGCCCCCTACGTTGAATAATGTATGTCAAAATTGAAGTTAAGGATGATTTGCCTTCGATTTGAATAAATTTGTGTCTTTCATTTGTTTAAAAATCATTAGACCCAATTGGTTTAGAAATCAGAACTTTTGGGATCCAATAAGACCATTTTTCTCAGGCCTGGGCTCGTTCATGGGCCCAGCATGGTAGTTTGCCTAAATGAAGCTTTGGGCTTAACTATATGCTGCGAGCCCAGGTATTATTGATCCGTTGAATCAGTGTATTCGCTAAATTATGGAATATCAGGGACAGCTTCGAATTAGGCTTCTGCTATGACCCAATGTTGGGTAACACATTTCATAAACGCTGTTAGAATTCTTCACTTTTGGGCTAGTCTTTCGAAGCCCAATATACTGAAAGTTTAATTCCCATTTGAAGTTATTGGATTATCCTCATAATGCAAGTTTGGGCCTTTCAAGTTAAGTAGCAAGCTCAAATTAAAGGGGTTTTCAGTGATGAAGTTTCTTTTGTTTGAGTTTGGACTTGAATTTGAGGCCCGAATTCGTTTTGTTACTTTAATAGTAGTTTATTAATTAGGTCCTCTAGAGACAATACTCAATAGAAGAAATAATAGTTCCTTTAGGGTGGCCTTTAAAATAAAGTGAGGTGCGCCGCGCCAAACAAAATTCATAGATTGTGTGTCCCTCTTTAAACATAAAAATGTTTAGAATTCGGGACGTGTCATTTAGCGAACTTTCATGGCCTCCCGCAAAGTTAATAACACGTTAGTCACTTTAGGCGCATTCTTTATTAATCTTATCTTCCTAAATTCGGGTGTGCATTTCATGTGACCCAAATCCAAATCCCAAAACGTTGAATAAAATATGTCGAGGATCCGGATGCATTTCATGTGACGTGATCCAAAAATGTGTTTTAAACGACATTCAATTTCCTTAAAATTAATTAAAAGCGTTAAGTAATTCTAAAATTGCATTATAGGATGACATGTATTAAAATCAGATATTAAGCCATTTATAATAGTTTAAGTGACCGTGCTAGAACCACGGGATCCGGGGGTGCCTAACACCTTCCCCCGGGTCAACAGAATTCCTTATTCAGAATTTCTGGTTCGCAGACTCCATTCGGGAAGTCGAAATTTTCTCGATTTGGGATTCAAGATAAACCGGTGACTTGGGACACCAAAAGCCAAACTTATCCCAAGTGGCGACTCTGAATAAATAAATATCCCATTTCGAATAATGTCACTTAAAATGGAAAAACTCCCTTATACACTATCCTTCGGGGGTAGGTATGTAAAAAGGAGGTGTGACAAGATCATTTACACATAAGTCAACATCCCATCAACTTTTCCAACTTAAACCTTTTTCATAAGAGACTAAGTGTCTCAATTCACTCCTAAACCACTCTGAACCCGAACCAACTAACCTGGCAAGACATAATAGAGCTATAGAATACAAAAGAAGCAGGAAATGGGGGAACGAGGCTATAACTCTCGAAACGGCCAGCTGGGTCGTTACAAACTACTTTGATCTTGTGCAATCAACTGCTCATCAACAATATCATTAATGAATCTATTTTCTAAAAATTCAACATGAATATATTTTACAACAACATTAGATTCTAGATCAAGCAATCTATATGCTTTCGAATTTTGTGCATATCCAACAAAAATACTTTTTATTCCTCTAGGTCCCAATTTTGTTCTCTGGTGATCAAGAACTCTATAAAAGGATATATACCCCCACACTTTAAAATAATATATGTTAGGTTTTCTACCATTCCAAAGTTCATAAGGTGAAACATAGACACTTTTTGAAGGCACCCTATTTAATATATGACAAGCAGTAAGTAGTGCTTCACCCCCACAGATTATGCGATAAATTTGCATTTAATAACATAGAATTAACCATGTCTACTAAAGTCCTATTTTTTCTTTCCGCCAATCCATTTTGTTGTGGTGTATAAGGTACACTCGTTTGATGTATTATTCCATGCTCTTTATTGAAATTACTAAATTCAGTAGGAAAGTATTCTCCTTCTCTATCACTTCGAATAATTTTTATTTTCCTAGTCTTTTGATTTTTCGCAACTGGCTTATATTCCTTAAACTTTTGAAATGCTTCTTCTTTTGTTCTAAGTAGGTAAACATGTGTGAATCTAGAGAAATCATCTATAAAAGTGATGAAGTATGTTTTACCTCCTCTAGTTAATTCTCCATTTAATTCACATAAGTCAGAATGCACTAAGTATAATAATTCTGTAAACAACTTCACAAAGTGGTTTCCTAGTCATTTTCGCTTGTAAACATATTTCACACTTTCTTCTATGTTCAGTTTTACAAGTGATATAACCATTTTTGGACATATAGTTTAAAGAACCAAAATATAAATGGCCTAATCTAGCATGCCAGAAATAAGAATCAGACACAACAGTATAAGCAGCAGCATAATTTATTGCATTAACACTTAGTTCGAACATGCCATCACAATGGTACCCTTTTTCTACAAACAGATCACTCTTAGACACAATTATATGATCAGACTAAATTACGATTTTGAAACCTCTCTTAGAAAGTAAACTAGCAGAAATCAAGTTAACCATAATTTCAGGAACATGGAACACATTCAGAAGAGTCAGCTTCTGCCCAGATGTAAAGTTGATTTCAACTGTTCCTTTTCCTGCAACTTCGGCTGTAACATGGTTGCCCATCAGCACCTTTTCAGAATCTTTAACTTCCGAATAAGTCTTGAACATATTCTTATCGTGACAGGCATGAATTATTGCACCAGAATCCAACCACCAGTCTTAATTCTTTGTGGTTGTTGCAGCCATGTTCAACTCTTTAACCATCTCAGTTGGTATAGCAGAAATCATAGCCACCGGCCCTTGTGAAGAACTTTCTACTGTGTTTACCTTCTCTGAATTTCTTGAATTTCCAGATTTTCCAACATCTCCTAAATAAAAATTTATTCCTGCTTTCTTAAACCTGCAGTCTCGAATCTTGTGACCTTTCTTTCCACAATGATAATAATTCATATTGTTCTCTTTTTATTAAGAGACTTATTTGAAACTTTCAAATTTTTATTTTCATTTCCCGGCTTATTCTAACTAAGAGTATTAACAGTAGAACTAGAGGCATGAACAATTTCATCATGAGCACGAGTCTCACTTTTAATTTGAAGATGAGTTAAAGTTAATTTATCAGTAGAATGTAGGATTTTCTTTCTGTAGTTATTCCTGGAAGAAGGCAACTTCGAGAGAATTGCACTTATTTGAAGTGCATCGGGAATTTTCACTTCAAAATCACTTAGTTTTGAAACTGAAATTTGTAACTCATGGATCTGATCCATTATAGGTTGTGTATATACCATCTTAAATTCGAAATATTGCAAAGATAAGAATTTTACCTCATTTCTCGTTTTCATACGCAGTATGCAACGTTGTCCAGATTTCCTTGGAGATTTTAAATTGGAGTACAAATTATACAATTGATCAGTCAAAGTATTCAAAATATGACCTCGGCAGAGCAGTTCATCTTCTTCTCGTATCTTCCTCTCTGTTTTGATCGCATCAGTATCCTCCGGGGTAGGTTCTAGTAGTACAACCAACAATGGATCAAGGACATAAAAGATTTTCAGTGCAGTGAGTAAGAAGATCATCTTGTCCTTCCAACGAGTGAAGTTTGATCCATCAAAGCGATTTAGTCTTTTGGATTCTCAACAGTAGCCAATAATTTCTCCATAGTAGAAATAACTCTTGAAAATTGTTAGAAAAGATAGGTAAGTAACTTAAAATTAAAGGCTTTGAGGCGTGAAAGATCACTATCTCTCAAGAGTTATTGCCTGTATATACTTTAGGGATTACAAGCAATTCTCTATCAGGATACAACAAA